TAATTTCGCTCCACCACATGTGCCACATGCGGTGCGAATGACAATAAAGTATCTCTGACACTGACTCTGGTGGAGGAGAAGTTGTGGATCCTCACTGACTGTGGTCTGTTTGTTAAGAAGTCTAGTACCCAGTTGCAAATTGAGGGGCTTAGTCCTAGTGTGAATAGTTTGTCCATCAGGGTTTGGGGAATTATAGTGTTGAAGGCAGATGTGAAGTCCACAAAGCGCATTCGGACATAAGAATCTTTCTGCTCCAGGTGGTTGAGCGCAGTGTGGATCACAGAGGAGATGGCATCCTCTGTTGATCGGTTCTCACGGTATGCATACTGATGAGGGTCCTTGTTGATGTTGGTGTTTGTTTTGATGTGAATCATGACCAGTTTTTAGAAGCATTAAGTGACTATCAAGGTCAGGGCCACTGACCAATAGTCATTCAGACCAGTCACTGTAGAGCTTTTTGGGACTGGGATGATGGTGGCAGTCTTCAGGCAGATTGAATCTGTCTCCAGGGTATGTGAGGTGTTAAAGATGTCTGCCATCACCTCGCAGAGCTGATCGGCAAATTCTTTCAACACTTGCCTTGTGCGGATTAATCCTCCTGAAAGTACTCCTTACTTCTGCTGAGGTTACGCTGAGATGCTCTTCATCTAGTGGTGAGGTGAGTCTGGTGCTGGGTGGTCTGTTCGGGTCTTCAAAGCACGCATAGAACTTGTTGAGGGCATCATACAGAGATGGGTCTTTGGGGCATTGTTCGCTCTTTCCTTTTTAATCTGTTAAGCACTTAATGCCCCTCCACATGCTCCGAGGTTTTTTTTAGGTGAATTGACCCTCGATCCTCTGTGCATATGTAGTCTTGGCCCTCCTAATACCAGCAACCAGCTCTTTCCTTGTCCTTCTCAGCACCTGTGAGTTTCCAGACCTGAAGGCAGTGTTCCTGGCTTCCAGCATGGTGCAAACCTCTGCATTCAGCCAAGGTTTTCTGTTCGGGTAACTTTTAACATATCTTGTGGTGGAAACGGTGTCAATACATGTACCATAGAACATGTAACCCAGAACTGAGGATGCGTATTGGTCCAGATCAAGCGATCCTCCATTTTCAGCAGATTCTCTGAAAACCTGCCAGAATGTTCGATCAAAACAATCTCTCAGTATGGGGTCACTGTCCTGGATCCAGCATTTAACTTTCTTTTGTACCGGTCTGGAGCATCTCAGTGGGGGAAGGTAAGCAGGAGCCGTTAAGATTGAGATGTGATCAGAGAATCTTAGGTGGGGGCGGAGTTTGGCTTTGTATGCATCTTTTACGTTTGTGTAAACACAGTCCAGCGTGTTGTTTCCTTGTGTTAGTATGCCCACATGCTGGTAAAAACTTGGGAGGCAGTCCTTTAGATTCATGTGATTAAAGTCTCAGGCTACCACGTAAAGAGCCTCAGGGTGTTTGTTCTGCAGCGAGCTGAGGAGATCGGGGTGCTCCTGCAGGGCGTCGTTAGCATTTGCATTCGGAGGAATGTAAACAACCGTAATGAAAATCACTGTGAACTTGCGGGGTAGATAATGTGACCGACATTTCACTGTTATTTGGTCCAAAGCTTTCGAGCATGAGTTTTTTACAACAGTACAGCTTGTGCACCAACTTTTACTCATGTAAATGCACACTCCGCCTCCCCGTGATTTCCCCGTTAGCTCGCTGCAGCGGTCCGCTCAAAAAAAGAGTCTGTCATCCAGCTGAAAGATTGTATCCAGCGTTTTATTTGTAATCCATGTTTCTGTGAGGCAAAGCACTGCACACTTCATCATCTCTTCTGAGGCACCCGCTCTCAGATGAAGCAAATCCATCTTGTTGTCCATTGAGCGGACGTTCGACAGAAAAAGAGACGGTATTGGGAGTTTTCCCGCTTTAGTATTAGCGCGTAGCCTCACCAGAACCCCCGCCCGGTCCCCTCTCTTCTTAAGCCGGGAGCAGCGCTTCCTCTTCTGCCCGTTGGAACGCCTCTGCCACAGCTTCCAGGTAGATGACTTTAATATCTACATTCTGCCGAGCGTAGTTTTGAGTTTGTTGCTGATTTCTGCTATATTTTGTGGCAAATCCACTCCTATTCTCATTAGTTCGGTTCAGCTATAGTTCACATGCATAAATCGTGCAGAGTCAGGCACAGAGTCCGTATCAAAACTTATAAAAACTGGGATAGTCCCGGGAGCCTGTGATGCTGCAACTGCTCTGAGCACGGCCATCTTGACATGCTCTACCAACTGCGCCACCATGCTGCCCTAGACAAGCATTGGTTATGTAAATTTAGTTTTAAGTAAATTAAGTTTCATCTGGATGCTGGAATACCTGATGCATTGTAGCAGTCAACATAAGAAGAGATGCCTGAATTAAGAATATGATGCTTGCTAAGTCAAGTTTAGCCAGATTTATTTTGTGTAGTGAACAGTGATATGGCATAAAGAAAAACACCTATGATCTATGAGAACAGTAAAAATAACAGTTTTTAATTGTGCCACACAGGTCCTGACAGCTGCATCTCACACAGTGATAGCTGGATATGGGTACCAGTGACCCCCATGACCAGAAAAGGAAGAAACAGGTGAAGATAATAGATAGATGGATGGAAGGTCTTCACAGACTCAGTCAGAAAATAGATAGTTATTTAAATTATATTGCATTCACTAGTTAGAAAAAATGATAAATCCAATAGTATTACAGAGGTTTTTTTGAAGGACATTGTCATATATTTGTGAGATGAAAACAAGGGTATCATTTACATATTGCTTGATATCAAAATTACTGAAAGTAATAAAGAAACAGAGTGTCCAATATTGGCCCTCAATGGCTCCAACACACCTGATTCAATGGTTGAATTACCTCTTCATGTTCTGCGAAAGTCTGCTAATCATTCCTTGTTCCAAATCAGGTGTGATGAAACAGAAAAACATCTAAAACATGCAGGATAGGCCCCTCAAGGCATGGATTGGATAGACAATACAGTAATCTGTAAATATGAAATCTCACATTAGGCAATTTATTGTTAAATTCAGATGAATAGTTCATGTACAGTACTTGTTTCACTTTTAAATTTCAGTAAGAATTAGTAAGACATAATACACGTGTGTAAATGAGATGGAGACAGGTGGAACAGTGAGGCTACAAGGAGATGAGGTCACAAAGGTGCAGGACTTTAAGTACTTGGGGTCCACTGTCCAGGAAAATGGGGGGTGTGGTAAAGAGGTGAAAAGGAGAGTCTAGGCAGGATGGAGTGAATGGAGAAAAGTTTCAGGAGTGATTTGTGACTAAAGCATGGCAGCAAAAGTAAAAGTAAAAGTTTACAAGACAGTGATGAGACCAGCTCTGTTGTATGGTCTGGAGACAGAGACATGGACAAAAAGACAGGAGAAAGAACTGGAAGAGGCAGAAATGAAGATGTTGATGTTCTTCTTAAGAGTGACAAGGATGGATAAGATCAAGAATGAGATCATCAAATGTACAGCACATGTTGAACAACAGGGAGATAAAGTTAGGGAGGCCAGACTGAGATGGTTTGGACATGTCCAGAGGAGGGACAGTGGGCATATTGGTAGAAGGATGTTAGAAATGCAGCTGCCAGGAAAAAAAAAAACAAAAAACAAAGAGGAGATATATGGATGCAGTTAGAGAGAACATGGAGTACGCTGATGAAGAGGAGGACATGGAGGTAGTTGGAGTGAGGACAGAGGATGCAGAGGACAGAGAGATGGAGGAGGATGACTCGCTGTAGAAACCCCTGAAGGGGGAAAGCTGCAAGAAGAAGAAGAAGAAGAAGATTTTTTTTAATGATTCACCACCTCACAAAAAAAATTTAAACTTCTTCATTTAAAATTGGATTTGTGCATTATAAATGGTCCACTTCACATGAACATTTTGGTAGTTGTGGACATATCTCTATATAAACAGCAGCAATATGATAAATACTCATCATTACAGTCAGTTATCATGGTTACCTAGGCACATGCTTTAAAATGTGATTAATTTTTTATGAAGAATATTCACTTCAAATATAGTTTTTGTTGCCAATTTGATATTTTATTAATTTAAAAGAGGTGCACATTCTACTAAATAAATTACTTTCCCTTATGTTCTGCATTTGTTTTCTAGTTATTACACCTTTATTCATTCAGTACTCATCCCTCTCGACTTTGACTTGCACTTTTGAATGGTTGTGAGACTGGTAATGGCAGACTACTGTTCAAACTGCATCTCTCTACATGAACATGTGGTGAAGACTATGATTGTTTTACCACACTTGATGTCAGTGTCAACATTTTTAAGCTTTAACTTCCTGTAATTTAGAGCCAAAGCACACCAATGTGGTTGTTGTGTACATATATACATAACTAAAACTCTTGTACAGGAAATGTATATTTAAAAAAAAAAACATGGGTCATCTGGGTTTGCTCTGCTGCTTCTTCCTATGTTTGGTACATAGGTTTTAAAACCTTTATACAGTATGTATTTTCTTGATGTTCTTATATAAGTAATAAGAGCTTTAATAAAAGGAATGCAAAAAAAGATTGTCCCCACATCCAATAGACTTTTACTTTTTTGTTTTTTCCAAATTCAATGACCAAACAAATACTATAATACAAAACTGATATATTTCAATGTGCAGCTATTCTTCGTCAAACTCAGGTTTTAGTACCAAACAAGATGGATTACAAGTAGTTTTTTTTTTTCTTATGAAACAGCAAAAACTTTGACCCATAATGGTTGTTTACACAAAAAGTTGTAGTAGTCATGTTAAAATAAACCACTTTAGTACAAAATGTACAGAAACAAATTAAAGGAGGAAATAAAAAATAGCAGAAATGTTTGGAACATTTTTTTTTCTTCTGTTGCTTCACACATTGCACAAGACCACAACTTTCCTACCTTCAGTTATCATCAGTGTCTTTCAACCAAAGCTTGTTCCATGACACATCAAATAATTGTGAACATCTTATAAGTTGTTGTGACAAACTGTAATCTTTCAGGGCAAATTAACAACAGCATATTTAAGGTCATCCTCCTTTTTATCCATGGCAGGTTGTTTCCTGGCCGATGATGTCCCACGTTGCTGGTGGTTGATGACAGCATATACTGGACTGTTAGATGCTTGACCTTTAGCTGTTGTGTTTGCAATCGGTGGCTGGTTCTCAGTGGGAGGAGAGGAAAGTGATGATGTGGTTGTTTCTGCTAAACTTGAACCATAGATCTCTTTCAAAACAGAGAGGTGGGTTTGCAGGACAGGAGAAGTCGGGGTGCTTGTCTGGGGGATGTTTGGTATCATATGTGTAGAACTTTTCTGTTACAGAAAGCATAGAATACCTGTAAGTTATTAGTTTAACAATGTACTAGACCTGGTTTGGTTCACAAATTACAAAATCTGCTTTAAAGGCGGTACCTAATGACAGAAATCAGGGTTGCCACTGATCAACCCATTGGAAAGCAATAAAAAGTTGAAGCTGTTTTAATTCACATTACCTCGTGCTCTGGGTAGTTAGGGGTCCATGTTCCTGTAAGAAAAAAAAAGAGAAAATTATAAATACATATAATCTATAGTTTTGTCAGATTTATGGGCCGTTCACAAGAGAATGGTTTATGTAAAGATGTAAAAGATTATTTTTTCTGTTTAAGCCTTGGCATCCACATAAAAACAGCAAGCTGGAGGAAACAAAACGTTCCAGAGTAAAAACTATCAAAAATGCTACTCTTGTGTTTTTAAGTATGCAGCCAAGACCTTATGAAAAGATAATGTCATAGCGCCACCTCCTATTTATAAGGGTGTCCTATTCTTCTTCCCAATGTGTGCACATGTGCCACATGGTTCCTGTTTTCAGTGCATTTTTTTTTTTTTTTGCAGTTTAGGGTTGTTTTCACTGTTTGAGTGTGAATAAAGACATAGAACTGCAACAAAAAAAATTAGGACATTTTGTTTTGGAAATATTGTGGACAAAGCCTATAAGAAGTAATACATACAGTATAGAACAGCATTAAAATAAATCAATCAAACCAACGCTCTTACGTTTCCAGCCAAAGAAGTGCAGGAGAGTTAACACAGTCACTGTGGCAACTAGAAGCAGAATGATAGAACATATATAAAAGTACGGCAACCAGGAGTCAGGCTTTTCATCGTCACCATCATCATCATCGCCACTACTACGTGAGGCAGCTGCAAAAATAAATAAATAAATTACATGAGTGTCTAAATAGTGTCCATAAAATAATTTAACCAGATCAAGGTTCTTACCAGCCACGTTGTCATCATTTTTAGCTCCTTGGTTTCGATCTTTGAAACAAAAAAAGAAAGCAGATCAAATAAACATCTACAAGAACATTTACAGTCAACGTGAATGGGTTCAAGCGTTTACCTGAAACTGAGATGTTGATGGAATGACCGACAACTTTATCTTTATTTCCCAATATTTTACATTTGTATAAGCCATCATCAATAATGGAAATGTGCTTAAAACTCAAAAATGAGATCAGCTCATCTTTCCCATAATTTTGACTGATTTCTATATTCTCTGTTTGACGAATTCGTTCACAGATTGTGTTTGAGACCTTGCACCACGTGACATTTAATGACTTTCCACAGTGTTTGCCAGGACAGCTGACTGTCACATGTTGTCCTGGGACCACTCTCTGCGTTGTGCCTCTCTTCACCTCCAACGTGATTTCACACGAAGACGACAAATCTGAAATGATAAAACAGCATTTAGTAATCGGTCATCATCAAGCTGCCAACAAAAATGACCTTCAGATCAAAGTGTTTGCTGTCGTCGTTGTCTGTTTTATTTCTTTTTTTTTTTTTTTTTTTTTTTTTGATGGCCTCCCTTCTCCCCTTACAGCCATCCTCTCCACACCATTATTATGAAATATTTTTTATAGTGACTATCTAGTGTAGGTTTTTTTTTTTTTTTTTTTTTTTTTTTTTTTTTTTTTTTTTTTTTTTTCCAATAGGATAGAAAGAAAGAAAAGACAAAGTAAGACTCCAAAATATAAGAAATATATACAAATAGAGCACACGTCAAAACACCCGGCCACTGTCTGTTCACCTGCAAAGAACATGACAAAACATAGCAACAAAATACATATGTATAAAGAACTTAAAATATTCATGGCTTTGCAGTAAGTTTCCATAAATATATATACCCATACCTACGCCTATATACATACATACATACATACACATGAATATACACTCACATACATATCTATATATCTACATATAAAGCCTAAATAAGCATCCCTGCTTCTATTTGTGTGTGGTTGTGAGCATGCATAAGTGTATAAGGCTTCTCTAATAGAACATTTATTAGTAACTGTGAAGCAGCAGAGACCCGACCCCCAACACCAGAGGCAGATGAAAAAGGGGGGACCAGAGTCCAAGACCCCAGGAGGGACCCCGACCGCGGAGCCCCCAGAGCCACCCACACAGGACGAACCACTCACCCACCCCCCAGAACGGACCACAGGGGAGAACCGGAAGATCCCCACCAGCAACCACATACAGTGACCCCCCGGGGCCAACAGCGACAAACTCATAGGCCCCCGTCGGCACCCGCCGCACCGATGTAGGTCCAGGTCCAGGCACCGAGGCCCGGGCACCGAGGACTCACACCACCCAGGCCAAGGCCTGACAGGGCCAGAGGACCCGAGCCCCACCAGGCAGACACCAGGCCGAGCCGACACACGCCCAAGCGCCCAGCCCCCGATACCAAGGGCCCCAAGCGCGCCGGCAGGCAAGGGCACACCCCACCAGGGGGCCGCGCGATAGGGGCGCGATGCCAAGCACCCCCAGTTGTATCAAAGAGGGGGCAGTCCGAGTCTTGGCCTAACAAATATCCATTCATACACAGACACAATCACACTATCCCAACCTCAATCTCACATTCATTCACTCAAAGACATACAATAACGATACATTTCATTCTTATTCCCGATACACACTCTAAACCCCCCAGGTCCAAGACATGTACCTGCCCTCTACAGGGGGCAGCCCATGCCCAAACCCAGGAGGTAAACCCATTCATTCCTGAGCGGAGAAGAGCCAATACCCCAGAACCGGCCCAGGCCATGCCCCGCCGACAGGACACCCCCCCACCATGAAGAGGACACGCCACCAACCCCCCCCACACACCGTCAACAACCAAGCACGCACCCCCAGCCGACCGCCTGCCAGGCCCCGGCAGCCACCCCGGACAGCGGGCCAACCATGGCACCCAAGAGCCAAGCTCAGGGGGCCCAAACAACCCCAGGGAGAGCACAGCGCCAGCACCGCCCACGGCAACCCCCAGACCCCGAACCCCCACATAGTCCTGGTCAACACCCGACGGCCTGCCCTTCTCCCGGACCCCACCCCCGGAATGGCAGTCAGGGAACTAGGTGGGTAGGAAGAGGAGAAAAAAAATAAATAAATAAATAAAAATAAGACCCCGACACATACACCCCCACCCCTAGATGTGCTGTTGATGTGTGTTGTTGTAGAGTGCCATTAAAAAGGAAAGAAGAAGGAGCAAAGGCTGGCTGTTTTATTTCTTGTGTTCATTTTTTATTTTTATTCCCTTAGTGGGTTATGTTGAGTTTCTTGTGTTTCTCTTGTCATCAGTTCATTCCTCCTGTGTTTTTCCCCTCCTGTAGTCACTCCTCCCGTTCTCACCAGATCCTCATTGTCTCCCCAGATGTTTGTCATTTCTCCCTCATTAGTGTCCTCTTATATTCAGTTTCTGGTCTTTTGTTTCCCCGACATTATGTTTTTTAAGCCGTTTGAGATTCCTGAGTTTTTCCTCATTCCTGTTAGTATTTTGCTGCGACTCCAGTTTTTTTTATTTTTCTGTTATTTGTAATTAAATTAGTTTTACCTCTCAGCATTTTTGTCAGCACTTCAACACTTTTTTTGACTCAATAGCTCTATAACGAGGCGCACACATTTCTCCCCACTCCCTGTTCTCCTCCTGCTTTTTTGCTCTCTGTCTGTGTATCGGAGCAGCTTCTATTTTTTACACATCTTCCGAAATGAAAACTACTGTTTTGGTTCTGACCAACTGGACTTTTAATGTAAATTACAAATTATTTCAACAAAACGACAGGGTCCTGGAGAAACCTTATCTGCTCGAATGAGACTCATGCAGCTGGATATATCTCTGGGGAATGTGACGTGTCTACCTCTGCTATCGATCGAGGACGCCGAAATTGCATATAATTGCATTTATGATAACATGTTTCCTGTTTTTGGAATAGTTTGGATCCTGGTTTATCAACATACAAAGAAGACAGCCGCAGCTAATTTGAACCTCGTCAGGCTGCTGCCTATGTGAAGGTTTGGTCCGTGCTTTGAGGACTCAAAATCAGCTGATTTACGAGCTAAACCGTAAGATGGAAGCGATTTGAATCGCAGACCACCTGTGGCTTTGGGACTCATTAGCATGAAAACGACCTTGAAGAGGCTCGTAAACATGGACCAGCAGAATGCACCCTAATCTGGCCATTTTGGACCTTGGAAGTATCAGTACAGACTCAAGGCTGACAGAAAAATAGTCTGCCTGAATAAATCAACAAAGGTGGTTATCTGAATTGGACTCCCAGATGGCCTCGAACAGGCCGACTTATCAATTTCTCCTGGGAAATGTGTAAACTAAGAAAAAGCTTTGGTTATCGCAACCCACCCTCTGTGAAGGCTTATCAGAACTGTGCCGGCTGACAATCATCTTATCAGCACAATGGACTATCTGTTAGTGCTTCATGGACCGCCTCATTGTAAATATGTATGTACTTTGTACATCATAATATGCATATGTAACGTGTTCATAAATGTGCTTGGCTGGCAGAGTTTTTTGATGTCTTAAATCGTGTCCTGTTAGGACAAGGTGTGAAGAGATCTTTTTTGTAATGCCACAACCCCTCTCCTAATGGCTTTGTCCCTTTTTCCATTATAAAAAAAAGTATTCTGAAAAGGATAAGAAGGCCGCGCTTTATAGCAGCAGCTTCGTGCACTCCATCCATCTTTCGGACGGCTTTTACGTACATATTCTTGTTGTATCTTGGTGCAATGATAATAAAGATTATTCTGATTCTTATTCTGAACTCTTCAATAAGATGACAGAATGTCAGGACGCATGTGAACCCAGCAGGGAAATAACTGTTCTTACTGGGAGGCGTTAATATAAGCCATCACACTATGGTGCCAGCCAAGAACACTTAAAGTTTAATTTTATGTTACATTAGCATTAAAGAGATACATAAATGGTTTAAAAAAAAACTATTGTTTCAGACACTGGTATTCGTTTCCAAAATGGTACAAGAAGGTTTTTTTTTTTTGGCACTTCAATAAATTTAGTAAAAAAAAAACATTATTTTTTATTGGTCTATGTTACACATGACATGACACAGTGACAACAATATATATTGAATTGAAGTCTCAAAGAACACACACCAACAATTAGATCTTTAAATAAATATATGAGGTGAGAATATTTAAATAAATATATGCGGCGAGAAGCAACAAAGTTTTACAACATTAGAAAATGTCAATCCGTACAATAAAATTACAAAGCCTGTCAAAAAATAATTTATCTTATCATAAACATTTTTAAACAAATTTACACAGTTTAAAACTCATGACATCAGGTTTCTCTTAATATTTACAAAAGTAAGAATAAGCACTCGTTCACCACTACGCTGTTAAAATGTCTTCATGTTCTGTTGATAAAAACAAACAAAATATATATGTAAAAGTTTTACCTTCACTTCCTCCACAAATGCAGACAAACGCAGTACAACAAACTATCAGACGGTTTAATTTGTCCATCATGTTCAACAGTTTTACCACTGCTAAATATTCAAATAAAGTCATGCAGGGTCTCACTTTATCTGAGAAGTTCACCACTTCCTGACCTCCCACATGCATTCGCCGACCACATTGTCAACGTGTGTATATTTCAATGATGTGGAAAGTTCCCGGTGTGCACATACAGAAACACATACAGGGTTATCATTGTCACTCTAAAGCCTATAATGTTGCTGTGTAGGCAGAAGTAAACAATCATTTACATTTTCAGCACAGGCAGCTTGGTGGAGAAGTGGTTAGCAATGGTTGCATCACAGCAAGAAGGTTGCAGGTTCACCTCGTTGCCTTTTTATTTGGAGTTTGCATGTTCTTCTTGTGGATGTGTGAGTTTCATACATTAAGTAATACATTACTTTTTTTTTTTGGTCTGATGACCTCCAGATAGGCAGCACGGTGGCGCAACAGGTAGAGCTGCTGTCTCTCAGCAAGACGGTTGCCGGTTCAAATCCCGGTCTGAAGGCCTATCTGGGTGGAGTTTGCATGTTCTCTCCGTGCATGTGTGGGTTTTCTCCAGGTGCTCCGGTTTCCTCCCACAGACCAAAAAACATGCATGTTAGTCTGATTGGTAACTCTAAATTGTCCCTAGGTGAGAGGGAGAGTGAATGGTTGTTTGTCTCGTTTGTCTCTATGTGTCCCTGTGATGGACTGGAGACCTGTCCAGGGTGTACCCCGCCTCTCGCACAGTGATGGCTGGACATGGGCACCGTCGACCCCCGTGACCCAAAATGGAAGAAGCAGGTAAAAGATAATGGATGGATGGATGGATGGATGGATGGATGGATGGAAAAGGGGAACAGAAACCTCTAAACAAAGTGGGTATCTGAGATTTATGTGTAGACTGAAAAAAGATGCTAATAAAATAAAATTTAAAAAGTACAACTGTCCAGCTGGACTGCCACAAAGTTAAAAAATTAAGATTTTCACTTATATTGAAAAAAAAAAGTTTGATCATTTGCAAAAAAATAAGTTTGAAGAAATATGATAAAATAGTATTTATCGGTAAAAACAATTATGTTAAACTGAAGAAATAGTCAGTGACAAATCTTTTAGTTTTTCACAAACAACATTTTCTCAAAGAATTTTCCAAAAATTTAATGTATTCTATGATTGTTCAGACTTAAAAAAACTTCATGAATATTTCTGTGATAAACTGAAAACAACAAATAAATATTAGCCAGAAGTCAATAATAATAATAATAATAATAATAATAATAATAACTAGAGATATTGCATTTCCTCTGAAAATGCAGTGTGAATGCTTGGTGCTGAAGAACTTGCTGAAAAATTGCTGGAAATTATTATTTTAATAAAATAAAAAAATAAAAAACAGCTAAAATGTGACTGAAATGGAAGAATAAGCCTAAATCCAGAAAAGAAAGAAGAAAGAACGCATATTTGCTGAATTAGGCTGAAAGAAGTTGAAATTGGTCCAAAAAATGTAAAAATGGCTGAAAAGCTAAAACTAGCATAAAAATAGCTTTACAGTAGTTGAAATAGCAGAAAAACATGAAACTATCAGAAACAAGATGAAAGGAGCCTAACAAGATGAATTTAGCAGAAAAAGTTAGAAGAAGAATGAATGTTGTAGTTAGCAGAAAGAAGCTGAAAAGAGCTCAAAATGAATATAATAATAAATATAAACAGGAAAACTCACACAGTAATAACAACAGTTGTCCAAAACCTAACATAATGATAAAAATGTTGCCCAGGTCAAATGTTAGAACTGTCCAGAGTAGATAACTGTGGTGCACAAAGAGTTTTCATCATCTTGTGTCTGTAGTCCTGCAGAACTTCGGGACTGTCTGTGGGTGATTAGCGTGTACGATGCTCGGCTTGACACAGGACCACCTTCTCCCGTTGTGTTAACTGGGAAGACAAGGGTAACGAAAAGCTCCACTGGTTACTTGATGGGCTCTGGGTCATTTGAAATCCAGAATGTGAAGACAAGTTTTACTTTTAGTTCCATGAAAGATCGGGGGATCTATGATTGTGAGTATGACGACCACAGAAGCAATGCTCACAGAAATGGAGACATGCAGCAGCCAGGGATAAGACATATAACCACCATCGCTCAAAGACTCTGACAAAGAAAAACATGATTAACATTTCAAACTAGCATTCAGAAAATAAAAATAAGTTTTCTTACCTGTAACATTCTTACATATACTAATCACAGTGTTCTGTTCCTCTTTGTTCATGCCTATGGGAAAAAACAAACACCAGAAAAAGTTAACACATTCATCAAAATACTTTTTGTTGTCGTTCTTAAAGAAAAAGTGCACACCTGAAACTGAGATCTTGATGTCATGACTGTCAAGTTGAGATCTGTGTCTATTTAAACTACATCTGTACTGACCGCCATCAGTAATGGAAACTTGTTTGAAACTCAAATATGAGATCAGCTCATTGTTCACATATTTCTGTTTTATTTCTACATTCTGTGACATAGAAATGACTTCACAGTGGCTTTCTTCAAGAAGTCTACACCAGAAGACGTTCAGAGTCTCTCCACAGTGTCTGACAGGACAGCTGACCGTCAGATTTTGTCCTTGGGCAACTCTCAAGGTCATTCCTCTCACCACCGCCAGCGTAACGTCACATGAAAAAGATAAATCTGAAATCATATCATATTGATCTTATTTTAATACATTTGTTCAAGTTTTGTGATTCTATTGTTTATAGCAAGTGACAGTTTTTTATGAATAAGCTAATCTATTTTAATTATTGTTTTCTACATCTTTGGTAAACATTAATTTATATTTATAGGATTTTACTTTATATATAAAGCCCAAGCAGCCAGGGTTTTAAAGGGTTATTATCAACCCACTTTTATGGTGAACGTTGTTCCTGTATTTTCCTATGTCTCTGCTTGTTTATAATAATTTTTCTGTTTGTTAGCAAAATGTCTTGTGAACTCACAAATTAATTTCAAAGAAATGTTCAGAAAGTAATCATTGCATGAACACCTACAGCTGATTAGCTTTGAAATCAGCCCAATTCAAGATGGCTGCCACAGCTAATTCACCTTAGTGAATGCAAAAATTATTATAAGTAAGTTCATTTTCTCTGATTTTGAAAAAAACTTAACAACTTGCATACATTTATTGTGATGATTTTAGACAGAATATGTTCATCAGCCTACACGTCTGGAGTCAAAAATGTGAAAAATTGTTTTGTTTATTAAGACATAGATCCACCTAAAATTAGGAGTAGCTGAGTGCGATCGTGAGTGAGAGTAGATGCTAAGGATTACTGTGCTGCACTTTACTTAGACCTGTCAAACTACTGTAAATCATGACATCTTATGCCATAAGCTCTCATATATACATACATATATATATATATATATATATATATATATATATATATATATATATATTCCTCACTCAATCTGAAATGAAGCACATGCTTTCTCTTCCCTTTGTTTGTTCTCCTCCTGCTTTTTTTGCTCTCTGTCTGTGCATCGGAGCTCCTATTTTTACACATCTTCCGAAATGAAAACTACTGTTTTGGATCTGACCAACTGGATTTTTGACTCAAATGACAAAATCTTTTCAACAAAGCGACAGGGTCCTGGAGAACCCTCATCTGCTCAGATGACACGTGCAGCTGGATATGTCTCTGGGAAATGTGATGTGTCTACCTCTGCTATCGATCGAGGACGCCAAAATTGCATATAATTGGATTTATGATAACATGTTTCTTGTTTTTGGAATTGGAATTGGAATTGGTTCCTGATTTATCAACATACAAAGAAGACAGCCGCAGCTAATTTGGCCTTCGTCAGGCTGCTGCCTATGTGAAGGTTTGGATTGTGCTTTGAGGACTCAAAATCAGCTGATTTACGAGCTAAACCGTAAGATGGAAGTGATTTGAATCGCAACCCACCTGCAGCTTTGGGTCTCGTCAGCATGAAATGACCTTGAAGAGGCTCGTAAGCATGGACCAGCAGAATGCACCCTAATCTGGCCATTTCGGATCTTGGACGTATCAGTACAGACTCAAGGCTGACAAGAAAAAATAGTCTGACTGAATAAATTAACAATTGTGGCTTATCTGAATCTGACTCCCTGGTTGACCTCGAAACAGGCTGACTTATCAATTTCTCCTGGGAAATATGTAACCTAAGGAAAAGCTTTGTCTATCTGGTTGTAACTACCGTTCCATCACTGCACCTTGTACTCCTTGGTAAGTTGGTCATTTTTATCTACACGTAGAATCTCACATTGGTTCATTTTCATCTATAAATCCCTCCTTGCTCTGCTGCCTTCTTATATCTCCTCCCACATGTCCCGTCGTCAGTGCAGTTACAACATGCACTCTCAGGACATCATTACCTGCAAAGTTCCCTCAGTGCGGACTGAACTTGGCAAAATGTAGGGTTTTGATATTTTCCTTCCTCCAGGTTCCTGAAGGCAGGGGCAGCGCTGATGAGCAGCTGCAACTGAGGCCAGTTTCCTTAATTGATGCCAGGAGTACTTAAGGCTCCAGTGGAGCTCCAGTCAGTGCTGGAGCATTGTTTGACCTGCCGGTACATATGCTTCCAGCCCTGTACTGTGCTTAAAGATTTAGTAAGACTTACCTTGTTTTGTGTCCACGATTTCAGAGTCTGGATGTACCGGATCCTGTCCTGTAATTCGAAGTATTGGAGAAGATCCTGTGGAGATACTTACCTGTGCTTCCTGGTGCTCAGCTGCCTGAACTTGCCTTCCACCACTTGCCCTTGCAGTCTGCCTTCTCATCATCCAGGAAGGAGCAAAACCCACAGCCATACAAACTACCTGAACTGTAAGCCTGTCAAAAAATCCAAACATTCAGTTGTTGGACCAAATCCTCGTCCAATAATTAATCCTCCTCCTCTGTCTTCACAGACCCTGAACCTGCTTGTAAATAGTTTATTTTTCACTGTAAATAAACATTTTCAATTACAGTTGAGCCTGGTTCTGTTTTACTCTCAGTCTGTTCACCTGGGTAATTCCACTTTATAACAGAATGCTCCAGCCAGAAATCACCCAGAACATGACTGAGAGAGAACAGTCCCAACTCTCCCTGTCCTCTCAGGCAAAACGCATCGACAACCATGATGCGACCCTGCAACAGATCCTGGAACTACAGAAGAGTAATCAATCCAACCTCCAGGAGATGGAGGTATGGTTTTTGCTTTCACTCAAAAAGTTTCTACACTGTTACCTACGTCTCGAAGTGCTCCACCAGAGAACCCCAATCCTCAAGTCGCAACCAGAGTCATCGACACCCCGCCCAGTGAGATAATTTTCAGACCGTCTGGTTATTTTTCTGGTGATCCCTATCACTGCGGTGGTTTTCTGCTGCAGTGTCGCTTGGCTTTTAATCGAGCTCCTAAGACTTATGCTTCAGACGCTTCCAAAATAACATACATTATAAATCAATTAAAGGGGGATGCGCTTCGATGGGCCAACGCCCACCTGTCAACTCGATCTGTTGAGACTCTAACTTTTGCTTGTTTTCTAAAAGATTTTGAACTTGTGTTTGATCATCCGCACCAGCAGGAGGAAGCAGTGAAGCGCCTCCTGACATTACGGCAAGGTAGAAGGTCCGTCGCCTAACACGCTCTCGAGTTCCGGATTACTGCAGCCCAAACAAAATGGGATGAGTTGGCTTTAAGAGGTACCTTTCTTCATTCATTGTCCGATTACATTAAAGATCAGATTGCCGCTCGAGACGAACCCAATAGTTTGGAAGATTCAATAAAATTGGCCACCCGTCTGGATAACCGCCGTTTAGAACGAAATAGTGAAAAGAACTACAATTCCCAGAGAACCCCTGTTTCCGGGTTACGTCTCACACCGCAAAACTACGACTGCTACACTGCTGGCTCAACTCCTGTTTCTGAGGCTCGTTCTACTCAGAGGAGGTCCGTTCATTCTTCAAACAAAGTTGAGGTGGAACCTATGGAGATTGGACGAGCTCACCTAACACCGGAGGAGAAACAGGAACGTAGGAAAGCGCGAGCCTGCATGTACTGTGGTAAGATTGGACATTTTGTCGCTCATTGCCCGCTCCGGGGAAACGAATTCTCTCACCATTAAGGCAGGAGATCTTGGTGGGAAATTCTTCTCTTTCTCCTGCACCTCGTTTAACACTCCCAGTGACCATTTTGTCTAAACAATGTCAACTTCCGATTGCAGCACTCATCGATTCCGGAGCGGAGCAAAACCTCATCAGCAGGGACCTGGTAATCCAGCTATGTTTACCTACCCAGAACCTAACGACCCCGATGAAAGTTAATGGAATTACGGGACAGTCTCACCCAGGTCCACAACCTCACTCAGGATATTCATTTTATCACCTCAGGAAATCACTACGAGTGGGGTAGGTTCTTCATTTTTGACTCTCCTTATTCACAACTTATTTTGGATTACCCTTGGTTAAAGACTCACAACCCCGTGATTAACTGGGAGACAAAAATAATTGAAAGATGGAGCTCTTTCTGTTTAAATAATTGCTTACGGTCAGCCATTTCCTCCTCATGTAAAAAGAAAGAGGAGATACCAGAAGAATCTGATTTGTCCAATGTTCCTTCCGCATACCTTGACTTAAAAGTAGTATTTAGTAAATCTCAGGCACTATCTTTGCCTCCTCACAGACCGTATGACTGTGCCATTGATCTGCTGCCGGGAGCTCCCCTCCCCTGTAGCAGATTGTTTAACCTTTCAGGCCCAGAGAAAGAGACTATGAAAAATTATATAGAAGAGTCATTAAATTCCGGTATTATTCGCCCATCTACTTCCCCTGTAGGAGCAGGATTTTTCTTTGTTTCTAAGAAGGATAAGACGTTAAGGCCCTGCATTGATTATAGAGGGCTTAACCAAATTACTGTTAAGAACAAGTACCCCCTGCCTCTGATCGACTCTATCTATGAGCAACTTCATTCAGCCACTATTTTCACAAAACTGGACCTTCGTAACGCCTATCATCTCGTGAGAATTAAAGAAGGAGACGAGTGGAAGACAGCCTTCAAGACCCCTTTAGGACATTTTGAATACCTGGTCATGCCATTTGGCCTCACCAACGCCCCACCAGTTTTTCAAGCTTTAGTTAATGATGTTCTCCGTTATTTTCTGAACCAGTTTGTCTTTGTGTATTTGGACGACATTCTCATTTACTCCACTGACCCGGTACAACACACCCATCATGTCAGTTCAGTTTTACAAAGACTTTTCGAAAATCAACTCTATGTGAAGGCTGAAAAGTGTGAGTTCCACGTCTCCACGGTCTCATTTCTTGGCTTTATTTTTGAAGGAGGACAATATCGCATGGACCCCAACAAGGTTAAGGCAGTGGTGGATTGGCCCGTCCCGGAAAACCGTAAGCAGCTGCAACGATTCCTGGGATTTGCCAGTTTCTACAGGAGGTTCATTAAGGGGTACAGTCAGGTGGCAGCCCCTCTCACTCAGCTCACCTCTACACTACGGACCTTCAGGTGGACTCCCGAAGCAGATTCAGCCTTCAACAAACTCAAGGATCTGTTCTCCTCTGTTCCTATTCTCTGCCACCCTGACCCCAAGAGACAGTTTATTTTGGAGGTGGATGCTTCCGATACAGGGGTGGGAGCTGTCCTGTCTCAGAGATGTAGAGAGGATAATAAAATACATCCCTGTGCTTTTTTTTCTAAACGTTTGTCTACGGCTGAACAGAACTATGATGTGGGAAATAGAGAACTCCTGGCCGTCAAGATGGCTCTAGAAGAATGGCGACATTGGTTAGAGGGCACCGATGTTCCATTTCTCATATGGACGGATCACAAAAACTTGATTTACATTCAACATGCTAAACGTCTGAATCCTAGACAAGCAAGATGGTCCCTATTTTTCAATCGCTTTAACTTCTCTCTCACTTACAGACCCGGCTCAAAAAATGTCAAACCAGATGCTTTGTCCTGCCAATTCTCAGCATCAGATGACGGTGAGAGGGAGGTCAGCATCATCCCTTCGTCCTGTGTGGTCGGTGCACTCTCATGGCCTATCACTGAGGAGGTCTTGGAGGCTCAAAAGGCAGAACCGGATCCCAAGGACAGGATGTTCGTACCCTCAGCGGTGAAGGCCCGCGTTCTCGATTGGGTCCACACCAACAAATTGTCTTGCCATCCTGGAACCAACCGCATGATGGCTCTAATAAAGAGACACTTTTGGTGGCCCACTATGAATCAAGATGTTAAAGAATTTGTCTCCGCCTGTCAGACCTGCAGCAGAAACAAAAGTGGACATAAACCACCCGCAGGCTTGCTTCAGCCCCTCCCTACTCCTGGTCGGCCGTGGTCTCATATTTCTTTGGACTTTGTCACCGAGTTACCTCCATCAGCAGGCCACACTGTCATCCTTACTATTATCGACAGGTTCTCTAAGGCGGTTCATCTCGTTCCCCTGACCAAGCTACCCTCCGCCTTAGAGACAGCCCAGTTGTTGGTACAACATGTTTTTCGTATTCATGGCATTCCTGCGGACGTGGTATCCGACAGGGGTCCACAGTTCGTTTCTCAGGTTTGGAAAGCATTTTGTAATTCTTTAGGTGCCTCGTCTAGTCTCACGTCTGGTTATCATCCCCAGTCTAACGGCCAATCAGAGAGATGCAACCAGGAGATCGAGTCTACCCTCCGGTGCATCATCCAGGAGAACCCATCTGCATGGTCTCAACACCTGGTCTGGGTAGAGTATGCCCACAACACGCATACTTCTTCTGCTACCGGGTTGTCTCCATTTGAGGCCTCCCTGGGTTATGCACCACCTCTCTTCCCCAGCCAGGAAGTTGAGGTTGCTGTACCATCGGTACAGCACCATTTCAGACGCTGTAGACGCATCTGGCGTCAAACCAAGGCAGCGTTACTTCGCACCGTGGCTGCAACCAAGAGGATGGCAGATCGTCACCGTTCCAAGGCTCCATCCTACTCAGTCGGCCAGAAGGTGTGGTTGTCCACCAGGGACATTAATTTAAAGG